CGCCATACGGACCCATTACACTTTAAAGAAAATAATCACTGCGTATGTTCTGTTTTCAGTAAGAAAAAAAAAAGTCACCGGTCAGTAATGAGACAGAGATGGCGTAGGTAGCCACAAAGGGTCAGGATCAAAGGATCCTAACACTGAAGATCGGTGCAGAAACGGTTGATAGCGTATGCTCTGTTTTCAAAAAGAAGAACAGAGTCACCCGGTCAATGATGAAACAGAGATTGCATAGGTTTCAACAAAAGCAACAAAGGGTCAGGATCAAAAGATCCTAACACTTAAGATCGATGCAGAGACGGTTGATAGAGAAAGCTCTGTTTTCAGTAAGAACAAACAGAGTCACGTCGGTGCTGAAACAGAGATGGCGTAGGTATCAACGAAGGCCACAAAGGTCAGGATCAAAGGATCCTAACACTGGAGATCGATGCAGAGACGGTTGATGGCTTCAGAAATCGAGAAGGACCAGAGAAACAGTGGCTCTAATGGTGGATTGTGGAGAAAGGCTTCAGAGACAGGCGAACAATTCCGATCTGCTCCCCTTCAATGAAAGAGAGAGAGCGTCAAAGGAACCTATAATGCAGATGAGATCGAAACTTCAATGGAGAATTTCGATGGGAGACGTCGTCTTCAGAATCGCCATGGAAGCCCTAGCCGCTATTCCATCTTTCATGTTATGATAACACATTGTGTAGACTATTTCTTTCGAATAAAAAAAGGAAAAACTAATTACTTACATTTTCACAATTATCAGCTAACAAACCAACTCGATATTTATTTGATACGATTTTTTTATACAATTTAGCTAGCAAGACCATTGATGAACTAGATCTCTTAGGTATTCAAGTGATTTTCTTTCTCTTTAGTTATTTTTTCAGAAATGCCATTTCATGTAACAAGAAAGCACATTAAAGAATAACTAATGAAAATGAGAAATCTATCCAACCATCTCATATACGAACTTTTCTGTATACAGTCACTTATCATAAACATGACATCTATCTAATTAAAAGAGAAGTATCAATATAAACCTACCCTTTTAATTAACACTTATTTACATTGTAATGCTATTGAAGTAATAACTATTCCTATATTTATGCCTTTTTTGTTTTTACAAAATTAAAGACATAACAAATTTAGTTTATTCTATGTTAATTAATATTTATCATCCATTAAAATTTTGATAAGGTAAAAGTACATACCATATTCTGTTATTTATTTAAAATCATAAATAACAAAAGAATCAGTTTCGATCACGAAAAATATTTGCAATATCCCATATATAGTAAATTTAGACATAATCATTTGTTACTAAATCATAATTTTTTCATATATTGGTCTAAACTAATTTCTACAATATAGCTAACCAATAAATTATATTCTATAAATGAAATCATGTATAAATGAGTAAGAATTACTTCCTATAATCTAACCTAGGGGCAGATATTCGGATACATGTTCGGATCGGTCCATATCTATAGGATTTTTGGGTTTTCAGAGTTAAAAATTTTAGCCCAAATTCGGTGGATAATCCGTTAAAATTAGTTTAGAAATTTAAAATTCATTTAACTTTACATTTCTAAAAATCTAAAATTAATACTATATAACATATAAATTTGAAAAATATATGTCAAAATACTTGAACTTAACATAAAATTTGGCTGGCTTGAATATTTTGATGGAGAATAAATATATATTTCAAGTATTGTTTTTAGTATTTTGAGTATTATTTTAGATATTTATTTTTTGAGTTTGTTATGTATTTATTGGATGTAGTCAAATATACTTATATAAATCCCAACATGCATTTATATAATTGATTTAGAATGCGGATGGATGTGTTATTAATTAATAAACATGATAAAACATTATATAATTTAAAACTTAAAATAATTATAAACTTACACAAACATAAAATAACATGTACAAGCCATATAAACATTTAGGTATTTGTGTACTAAATTTAGAACAAAATATTGTTTTAAAATTATATAGTTATATTTTCATATTTATTAGTAATAATTAAAAAGTAAAAACCACATAAAATAATTCTTTGTATAATATATAAATTAAAATATAAATTATTCCATTAGTTTCATATAAATAAAATTCAACTGAAATTGAATACATAAATTTATATGATAAAAAATAGATGATACAATTGACTATTACAAAATAAAATATAATGACTCAATATAATAAATAGAATTACTATGTTTAAAATTATTATACTAAGAAATTATATGGTATGTATAAACTATAAGTTAAAATTATATAATATATACAAAATAAAAAGAATTAATTTTAAAAGTGAAAATTAATACTAGTGATGTCGCACGGGTCAAGGTCTAGTCTATATTATTAAAATTGAAGTATAAATGAAAATTGTTTGGAAACATAGATAATAATATTAACGTATGTTTGGAAACATAGATATGAGTATTAATTTTTTTAAAACCAAAATTGTATCTTATTTTGACCTAAATCACATTTATAACAGATTCAGTTCGGTTCATAATTATAATTTCATTTTTATTGAGATAGTAATTATTATGTTGTTCAGAAAAAAATGATTTGATATTTCATATTTTTAGAAAGATATTTATTTTTATTTTTTTGTAAAAAACATAAAATTCACTTGCATAATAAAGATTTTTCTATATAAAATCCTTAAAATTATTATATATTATTATTTACTTTTTTAACACCTTAGTATTATTATTTACTAAACAATTAAAAGTTCAATATGATAAATAAATTATGAGAGATAAATGATATATTTGTCAATTATATACACATAACTAAATGATCACATTTACATTATACAACATGATTTGTAAATATAATAATATGCAATTCATTATATGGTGAAATATATTAAATATTGAACACTTAAAAACGAAAAGCAAATATAATTTTATAAAATAAATAAAAATTAATGTCCGTGATACAATTGCATTACAAAATTGTGACACATCTAAACTATATAATGGTCACATGAAAAACATAAAGCAATATATTCTCCATTGTCCACTGCAGTGCTTCCCGCTCAAAGTGCAAAGCCGACTCCACCCTACTAAAATAACGCATACGCATTAGCTGACTATATCCCGAGCTGTCATTCCAAACCCAACCATATCCACTGAACTGAACTGTAGAGGTCCAAGAATCATCTACCATACAAATATTTTCCAGACTTATGGCCTGGCTATCAACATCTGTGGGTCCTTGGGATGACGATATAATCTGTTCGTTGGCTTGGAACCAGGCTTGATACTCACTCTCTGCATAGCGAACTACCTCCAAGGGATCTCTATCAATTCCTCTGAATAGCTTATCATTCCGAGTTTTCCAAATATACAATATTAGCTAGGGATAAGGATCCCTGTCCAATTCCGGTTCCATTATAGAATTTTTCTTCCAGAACAGATAGTCCATGTTAGAGTATGTATTCTGTAGTGGAAACAAAGAAGGGTTGGTACGCGTAGATGATAAGGCCCAAACTTGCCTTGCATGTGGAAACTAAAAGATTGTGTGGGTTACTGATTCTTTTGGTTCCCCCACATCGTGGATAGTTATTATCACATCTCATATGTCTATAATTTAGAGTCCTTGTAACAGCCATATGACATGTTATTATTTGCCACGTAAGATGGCACATCTATTGGGGTGTCTTGATCTTTCAAGCACCTGTTTGGAGTTTTGTGATACTAGGTTCACAAACTACAATTTCCTCCTTCATCAATATATTCCGTGCAACCCAATATCCAGATTTGACTTTGTACTGTCCATTCTTGGTGTTGCTCCAACAATAAGTGTCCATACGATGTGTTGTACTAATGGCCATACTCCTTATGAGAGGTATATCATCTACATAATTATCGAGCCGGCTCAGATCCCAAGACTTTGTCTCTTGATTAATAAAGTCACTCACAGTCATGTTCGGATGCAAAATCAGAGCAGATGGGACGCTGATCTCGCTGGAACGGTAGGGATCTAAGGATCCTCCCATACTTTCACCTCATATCCCGAATTTATTTTTTTCTAACTCTTAGAAATAGTAACTCTCGTGCCGCAGATATACTTATCCACACATATGATGGGCTACTAACATTAAGCTGATGCAAAGGTGAGCTCAATCGATAATACTGGCCTCGCAAGACTCGAGCTACCAGAGAATCCGGGTATTGCACCAATCTTCATAGCTGCTTTGCTAATAACGCCAGGTTAAACTCATGAATCATCCTAAAACCAATCCCTCCTTCCTCTCGAGGTAATTAAGCATACTTTGTCCCATGTTGACCAGTGAATACCTCTTTTTGGGGGGGTTCAAACTCCACCAGAATTGTACAATGGCACTAGATAATGCCACAAATCTCCAGCTGAAGTAGAAAACAAGACATTACATACGTCGGGAGTGCTAGCAGTATCGACTTAATCATAACTTCCTTGCCACCTTTAGATAGCCACCGACCGACATGTCCATTCATTTACCCTACTCCTTAGCTTATCCTTTAAGAAAGCTAAAAGCTTAAATTTAGATCCATTGATATCCTCCGGGATTCCTAAGTATGCTATCATCCCTATTTTGTTATGTATCCCAAGTAATGGCACATATACTATATATATATATATATATATGGTAAAATAAATACAAAGTAAAAAATTTATGTGTGGTCGAAATAATAATTAATACTGAAAATCAACAAACATCCACAATTATGGACATGTTCATTCAGATATATTCTTCTATAAATAAATAGTACGGAAAACAATATCACAAATTGCTTCTTTGGTCTAGCGGTTAGGGCATTGGACTTTGAATTCAGTAACCGAGTTCAATATTCGGTAGAACCTTCTTTTCATCGTTTTCATCGTTTTTATTATTTTCTGGTCAAATATATTGTGAAACGCACGTGGAAATCAAACAGTCAACGGCCATTTTAATTCACAGATCAGATGGAATCAAAACAAAGAAAGTGGAACTGAAACATTTAAACGAAACCAACCTTCCCTTTCTCCCCGGCCTTTTAACAAGAGAGAAACCGAGAAAAAACAAAACAATTTCCAAGAATTATAATTTACAAAGATTTGGAAAATGTAAATTACAATTCTTCTGATTCCGCCAATCCTAACCCAAGAAAAAAAGAGATAAAGAGACGAAGAAAAATAATAATCTTGAAAAAACATATTCTATGCTACCTAGAGGGCTCTCTTTGCCTCTGGTTATTAATGGCACAAAGAATCGATAAAATGTTATCCTCTCACCTCAGCGCTTCTACATCTTCCCCGTACGCTGCAGGTTCCGGCACAATCTCACTAGACTGTCGTCTTCTCGACGATGAGTTCCCATTATTGTTATTCCTTCCACTGCTCCCTTGCGACCCTGAGTTTATCAAACCACCACCACTTGTTGTTCCTACAGCTTGAACCGCTGTTACATCCGATGCGCTCTGCCTCCAGCTCCCGAATATAGCAGCGTTCCACGACCCTCTCGACGAGTTTGTTCTCAACCGTGAAGAGCCTGAGCCCGAGTTGTTATCCTCTCTCACTACTTTCAACGGATTCTCAAGTGCGTTCACTATGTGTCTCATTAATGGCCGTCTTGTTGGTTTTGGGTTTAGGCATGACTTCGCGATGATAGCCATTGCCCATACTTCTTCTAGAAGGTCCTCGTCCACCATTAGCGACGGGTCTAGGATCTTGGTCACTAGTTCCTTCTCGTTTGTGCTTATGTATTGCAAAGCTTCTTCCATGTATGCTTTTGCTTCTGCGTTGTCCGGTGAGCTGATACCGAGCTTCCCCGTGACTAGCTCGAGTAACACTTTCCCGAAGCAGTAGACATCATAGGCGCATGTTGCATTTGCTGCACCTTAAGAGTGAAAATCAATCAGATCGCGTCGAAGAATTACAAAACTAGCTGTTAATTTTACAAAGCAATAGATTTGGCTCCATTGGTTCGGACACTAAACTACAAGTCCCCTACAAATACACCCACGAACCAGCTTCTTTGAAACACTTGTTATGCTGTTTCTAGAGCCTAATAACTTTGATACACACAGATTTAAACTATACATACCTGAAGAGGATGCTTCAGTTGATCTGCAACAGAGGAAAAAGGAAGAGAAGGAAGCATTAGTAAAAAGCGAAATCGCTTTTTTAAAATATTGTTGTGACGTTACAACATAGAGAGTCTGCTTGATGTCATGAGCACTTACTGCGGTAACCGAAGTAAACGAGAAATCCTGCTTTGATAAGCATCACCTTGAACATATGCCTCGCTAAGGCTTCCAAGACGTACCTCGAATTTATCATCAAGGAGTATGCTACTTGCTTGTACATCCCTATATCACATTGACAAACATGAGTTACTCTTGCTTTCTTTTGTGCTTATCAGATCAATAATCAATGTATATAATATGAAGCCCATACTAACGATCCATAAATAAATCTTAATTCCACTGAACACAAGAGTTAATAAGGAGTACCTATGAACTAGAGGTGGGGAACACTCGTGATGCAAATAAGCTAATCCCTCGGCTGCACCAAGAGCAATCTTCAACCTCGTTATCCAATCCAAAGACTTCAACCCATCACCTTCGTTGTCTGACTTCCTAAACAAAGCACTAGCAAGATCTCCATTCCTCATATACTTGTACACCAATAGCTTCTGGCCCTCATTCTCCAAGCAGTGTCCAAGACATGGAACCAGCCTCTGGTGTCCAGCTTTAGTAAACAACTCAAGCTCTGCTATATACCCTTCGGTTTTACTCTCCTTTGTATCGATCTTTTTTATAACAATGGGTGTTCCATTATCCAAGAAACCACGGAACAAGCTCCCAGAATGCCCACGTTTTATCAGATAAGCGTCACTGAAGTCCCCTGTTGCTTGCAGAAGGTGCTCATACGTAAACGCATTCCCAAGACGTGACAAGTCAAAAGTCTGTGCTCCTTTAGGTTGCTGAGAAGCTTCGGTTACAGGTTTAGGCCTGTCACCGCCCCCACTTTGAGCCGATCTGCCTATTCTACGTATCCATAGAGCCACAAGAATAGGCAAGAGAATGAAAATCAGAATAAAACCAATTCCTCCACCAACTGCTGCTAATATAATCACAGTCCTTCGGCTTAACCCTGAAGAAGCCTTTTCGGAAGTAGGTTGTGTTGAGTTAGGCCGTCCGAAATCATCAAAGTCTAACCCCTTAGCTGTGTAGAATGCTGAACAGTCTTCTGAAGACTTCTGTCCCTTCTCGTTTTGAAGACAGTTTCTGGTAAGAGACGCATTTGCTCTGAGGACGTAATCTGGAACCTCACCTTCAAAGTAATTACCAGAGAGGTCCATGGCATTGAACCTTATGAGAATCCGTGTGAGCTCGCCGTAGAACATGTTCGAGGAGATATCGACCATCACTGCATCGACCTGGTTCGGACCAGAGCTAGAGTTCGGTAGCATTCCTGTGAAGTTGTTGTTAGCAATGTCAAGGATCCGTAACTTAGGCAAAGACCAATACGCATTAGGTAGATTACCGGAGAAACCGTTTTCTCTCAGAACTAATCCCTTAAGCTGGCTCTGAGCACCAAACAGATCAGATGGTAAAGTTCCACTCAAGAGGTTGTCACTAATCACCATGTTCCGCAAATTCGTTAACTTTCTAAACTTTTTAGGAACTGAACCAGACAATGAGTTGATGCTGAGATCAAGATCAACAAGATTGACAAGATCTCCAAGCTGTGGAGGAATCGAAGAGGAGAAACTATTGCTTGAGAAGTTCAAGTATAGAAGCTTAGATAGCATTCCGATACCAGGAGAGATTGGTCCAGTAAGGTAATTAGAAGAAACATCAAGACTCGTCAGGTTCAGCAACGAGCTTAAAGACGGAGGAAGAGCACCAGTGAGTGTGTTCCTAGAGAGATCAAGCTCTGAAAGACTCGACAACTCTCCTAAACTGCTTGGAACCGAACCGGTAAGACTGTTACGAGACAGGTTCAAACTCATCAAGCTAGTGAGATTACCGAATGTTACGGGGACAACACCAGTTACTGAACAAGAACTAAGATCCAAGACACGCAATGTGGTCGAGAAGCTAACACCAAACCAATCAGGAACAGAACCAGGTAATGCAAATCCAGACGCGTTGAAATAAGCTAAGCGAGTGAGATTAACAAGTGGATCAACAGCGAACTGAGGATTCTGCTTACCTATCCTTGTCCTCTTGAAACCAGAGATGTTGATCCCGACAATTCTTCCGTTGTCGTCACATTGTATCCCTCTCCAGACACGACAAGGATCGCCTTTGATTGGCCAATCGGTTCCTTTTAAACCGAGGGATGACCTGAGACGAAGCAGCGTGAGCAGTTCGTCGAATCGAGTCCTTGATTTCGCAACAGCGACACCGTCGAACAGTAACAAAGACAAGCAAAAGAAAGATGAGACAAAACACAATGCGCTTCTTCGATCCACCATTGCTTATGGCAACACTCATCTTCCAATCTCAGACATCATCATCATAAAAATCACTGACAAAACCTAGAAACTAACCCTTGATTCTTTTTAAAGCAGAATTTAAGCCCTAAGAGATGATTTGGAGAAGACAGAGACAGATACGGTTCCTACCTTCGCACACACATTAAACCACCTCTCTCTCTCTCTGAAAATCCTAAATACTAATCTCAGAGAAAATTTATCACTAGTCCTTAAAACTAGAACTGAAATAGTAAAAATCTTAGAGAGAAGATCGAGATGGTTGAGAAAACACTGTCACACTATTCTCTCTCTCTCTCTAAACTTCACAATTTAAAAGAGAGAATTAAGTAAAAATCAAATTAATTATCACTGTACATAAATGATAAAGAGGAAATCTCGTTTAAATTAAATTAAACATTTCAGATATTTAAAGAAACTTTCATTTTATGGTTGGTTTGACCTTCCTGGTGATCCCGCCGGGAGCCAGCTAAGCGCCGCAATCAATATTCTAAAAAAGTTTAGGAACAAAAGTTGCTTTTTCTAGTTTTAATTTTTCTTTTTCTAAGTTGTTATATTTTTTAAGGGCAATTCCTTCAAATATCTCTCTTTTAAGTTTGGATTTTTAACATAAAAACCCCTCAACTAAGTTTATTTTGGGTAAAAACCCATAAATTAAGTATTTAATGAAAAAAACCCTAAACTAACTTTATTTAATGAATTAAACCCTCGCCGGTCATAATTACCAGTACTACCGATAAATCTTTAGTTTAGGGGTTTTATCATTAAACATAAAAATTCAAAAAAAAAAGAAAAAAAAATCAAAATATAATAACATTATCTAAAAATTCGTAATTTTAATTTTCAAAACTAACATTTTAAAAATTTATGTAAATATATGAATGATTTCTTATCCTTGTAAAATGGATTTTTAACTCTAAAATACCTTAACTAAGTTTGTTTTGGGTAAAAACCTCCAAACTAACAAGTAAACCCCCATATTAAACATAGTTGAAGGGTTTTTATCATTTAAAATCTAAAAAAAAAATTATAACATTATCTAAAAATTAGTAACTTAAACTTTTAAAATTAGCATTTTGCAAACTTTCTGTAAATATATGAGTTTGATTTGTTTTAACATCAATATTATATATATAGATTAAAATTATAAAACACCAAATATAATAAAAAGCATCTAAAGATTTATTATTACATTTTTATTAAATAAGATATAATTTTTATTCTGTTTTCTTGTTTTTATATTTATAAGTTTTGATAATTTTTATTACAGGTAAATCATTAGATAATTTTTCTTATATTTTCTTGGTTTTTACATTTTAAATTTATACATATATAATTTTGATTTTAAAAGGATAACAAATCAGACTCATATAGTTACAAATTGTTTTTTAAAATGCTAGTTTTTAAAATTAAAATTACAAATTTTTAGATAATGTTATTATATTTTGAATTTTATTGATTTTTATGTTTAATGATAAAACCCCTAAACTGAAGATTTACAGGTAGTACTGGTAATTATGATCGGTAAATACTTTTTTAAAACTTGTTTCTGCTTTGCTGCCATCACCCAAGATTTCTGCATCGACGGAGGAGAATCCCGAGCCGTCTGATCTCCTTGAACCTCCGTCGATTCCATCCCAGCTGCCGAGATCGACTGCCGAAATTGATAACCGTAAATCGCCTTTGTAATCACACTTTTTCTCTCAGAGTAAAACAGTGTGTTTTCTCTCGTCCCTAAGTTGTTATATCAAACTTAATGTTTTACATTTTCAAAGAGTGATATATATATTTTCATGTAGTAAATTCAAACTTTGTTTGATTGCTTCAAAACCTGTAGTCGTTAAGGGAGAAAAATGTTTATTTTGTAGTTTCAAACCAATACTTGGAGGAGATCTCTACAGTTTTGACATCTACTTACTTTTTTAGTTTTTTTCTTCAGTCATTTTGTTTTTTATTTATTTTCAATTTCTTTAAATATGGCAAAAAATTATTGTGTCTTTTGTATGTGTTTTCCAATAGATTTGAGAAGACAAAAACTTCAGCTCACACTACAAGAAATTACTAAATCAGCTACCGAAAAATTTGTAGCTATCAAACACAATCTGTAGCTAAAATCAAGCTAGCGACAGATAGCAACAGATCAAGTCCCTGGCGTCAGCACCGACGCTATCTTTGATCAGTAGCTAATCTGTAACCAACTAGCGACAAATTAGAGAGAGCAGTTTCCGTAGCTAATAGCAACGGTATGGCTACAACTTGTGTCATTTCTAATTAGTGATGACTTTAGCTACTGATATTTTGTAGCTATATGGCTACAAACATTAGCAATAATCCCCTAGCAAATCCATAGCCACGTTTGACACAAATTTGGTTGCATATATGATTTAAATTTTATAAATTAAACTATATAACCTATTTTGAAGCATAAAATATATAAACATAGATCATAAAATAAAAAAATCTTCAATTATATAAGCATTGTCAAGTATAATAGTACAATATAAACAAATTTTTAACAAGAAAGTGAGAATAAGACATAAAAGTTAAAACTGAAAATTGTTGGTGCCTGGATGGATGAATGTCGGTCAAGGCATATGTATCTACTCTTCAGTTGGAGATGTCTAGATGGGGGGCTGCTGAGACGGAAGAGGTGGCTGTTCTGCCACATGTAGCAAGCTTGATCAGCATCAGTCTAAACAAACCTGCTATATTTCTTAGTGTCACAGCTACACATTATCGCCAGTGATATTGGAAATATATCATGGAAGCGTTCTTATTGTAATCGTTCTTAATATCTGAATAGCAACAAAAATCACCACCAAGGACAAGAGAAGTTATAGTAACTGAATATGTAGTTTAAACTCATTAGCAGGAGAATGCACTTAGAAAAGATGCATTACGTAAGATAGTGCTGTTGCTGGAACCATTGTAATTACTCGTAAGTTTATAACGAGTACTACTCTACACCAAATGCAAAAGAACATCTCAACAGCCAAAATAGATCTTTACAAAACTAAATCGCTAAATTACCTGCTGCATCTGAGTGAGCACAGCTACATTAGCTTCCGTTTAGAATGATAGATCCGTAGTCAGTAGCGTACTTGGAGAAGCTTGAACCACACAAACTATGAGGATTTTATACAAAACAACAACACATTAAACATTCGAAGTATGATAGATCACTTACAATATATGACTCAGACTTAACACATCTCATACCTCTGAAGATGATTTCAGATACATTTCATTTTTTTAATCAAACAAAGGGATATAATCTGAGGATCGCACTATAACACATCTCATACCTCTGCTTTTCTCAGATCCGCTTTCACATTGGCTAGTTTCATTACAAAACCAAAAAAAAAAAATATCAGAGAATCACTCAGTTTCAGCACTCTATGGACAAACCACAAAAGTAAAGATTAGGGTCATACACATGTTTCTCGCTGAGGCGTTTGAAATCCACCAGCACTGTCTTGTGGATTTTGAGCTTCATAAGAGATCTCTTCTTCTTAAATCTTTGATTTGTCTCCTCTACTGCTGCAAGATACATCGGAGCGATACTAAAATAAATTGGGGGAAATAAAAATTTGGCGTAAGACTGCACTCCAAGAAAACAGGTGTTTAACGACTACACTATTGGTTGTTAATTGGTCGTAATATGCCATTTACGACCAATTAACATCGAAAACCAATTGGTCGTTATTCGCTAGTCGTAATGCACAATTAGTCGTAACGTAGTCGTAATATTACGACTACACGCCGTAGTCGTAACCTATAGTCGTAATATTACGACTAACGCATTAGTCGTAAGGTTGAGGTGACACTCGTAGTCGTAACGTGGTCGTAAATTATTTCGTAATTAATTAGTCGTAATATAATTAGTAGTTAATTAGTCGTAATATAATTAGTAGTTAATGAGTCGTAAACATTAGTAGTTACTTAGTCGTAATATTACAACTAAGTAACTTCGACAGTTGTTGTCCATTAGTCGTAAATTAAAGACTAATTTACGACCAATTTTGATTTTAAATAAAACGTTTTTTTAATTTGATTTTTTAAAAATTTTTGGTTTTTAATTCGAATTTTTTTTGAAAAATTAATAAATTTTAAAAATATATATAAAATTATATTTGAATAAAATAATATATAAAAGTATTCATAAAAAAAAACCAAAAAATTAAGGTGTTTTGTTGAGGTTCATGTCTTGGAAGAACTCGGAAGTGTGCTGCTCCGCACATCGCTCAAAATCCACTTGCTCTTCCGGAGTGGGGTCGGGGTTAAAGCTCGGACGTAGAGCTTGCCATGCATTTGCAACCGTCGGGTTTGGATTCGAGGTCTCCATCATAAGATCGAACATACTCGCCATAGGCTTGAACTTGTCTTTATGCTGGTCTATGACTTTGTTGGCAGCTGCTAGTTCCCGTCGGAGAGAGGAATCTTCTTCTATTCTTGATGCATGTTCGGCCCTCGCCCTCGGGACATCGTTCACAGTCCCGATCCCAACAATACGTCCCCTTTTCTTCAGAGCAACTTACAAAAGATCAAATTTTAGTAAAATTTTATGAAGTAAAAATGTGAAAGTTTAATAAAAAATAAAAAAGTTAATAAAGTTAAAAATTAAAATAATTTACTTGCTCAAAAATCTTGTCTTGGTCGATGGTGGAAAGCTGGACCGGTGGAGCATCCGGATTTTGTTGCGACATCTGAGTCTGGACCTCTTCGATCCGAGCCTCTACCTCGTTGAAGATCTTCTCTGCTTGAGGATGCACAAAAGTCCCATTAAAACGCTCGTGGGTAATCTTGTATAGCCGGACGAGAGATGGTGGCGCTCCTTCTTTGGCAGCCTATATAAAAAAAATTAATTTAAATTTTTCGTTAAAAAAATAATAATAAAATCAAGAAATATTCAAACACTTACAATTTCAAGTGTCCTCCCAGCATGTGGGGTCTGCCCGGAAGTATGAGGAACTGGCAGGTTACCTTGACCATCCTTGGTCATCCAGACCGCAGAGTACTTGGTAGACTTCGCCCTTGACTCAGGCTTCATCGAAAAAGCCACCAAACCAAGCCAAACGTCATTGCTGAGGTAGGTTGGTTTTGCGTCATCCTGTCTTAGCCTCCAGTCGTCCTTCCAATCTCCAACAATGTTCTTGAGGCGCTGCATCGCCTTTTTGTAGAACCCAGATTTGACCTCCTCGTTGACACCAATGGACCAATTCCATTTTTGCTACAAAAAATTTATGAAAAATTAAAAAAACATTAGTACTTT